CCGCCACGCCGCGCACCTTGAACAGACCCGTCTCGCGCGGGCCCATCTGACCGTCCGAAACGGCTGGCGTCCAGCGCATGACGCTCTCGAGCGCGAGACTGCGCCCCACCTTGTCGCCGAGTCGGTGGGTGGAGAGGATCGAGTCCACGGCGGAGGGCGATTCGAGCAGATGGTTGATGTACGTGCGCGCAGCGCCGGGCGCGAGACTCTGCAGGCGAGAATGGAGGAAGAGCGTGGTGAAGAGCTTGAGCGTTCTGCGGCCGACGAAGGCGAGCCGGCGGTTGTGGCCCTCTCGCGCGTTGAGGTACGACTCGTGCGTGACGGCGCGCAGCGCGAGATCGGCGTTGGAGTCCAAAAGACCCGACGACCCGCCGGAGAGATGCGCAAGAACATCGGCTCCAGTGATGCGTGTTCCGAGTGCAGGCGATGGGCGAGAGTCGGCGCTGCGGAGCGAGGGGCGAGATGATGGAACGGGAGCAGCAGTGGTGGAGGAAGAGGCGGTCGATGAGGCTGCCGATGCAAATGCGCGCGAAGCGGAAGATGGGCCCGAAGAGCAGCATGCAGAGGCAGCAGGAATTTCTGATCTGCTGCGCATGCTACGCATGCTGCGGCCGAGATCGCGCAGCGGCGACTGGATGCGACGAGCTGCCATGTTGGTCGAGATTGCGAGTCGAGAGCCGGAGGACAAGAGGCAGGCGGGGGCGTGTGCGGGGCCTATTCCGAAGCGCGCTGCGAGTATTCGGGGCTGTGGTCCTTTGCGGTATTTGTGTGATTGTGCTGGACCGAAAGAGCTGCGCCAGGGGATACGAGGTTTCGTAGGGGTGAGAGAGGAAAGAGGAATGCCGCCTCGGATGATGTTGGATGATTGGATTTTTTTGCCCAACGCGAAGCTCAGCAAGCGGCGGTCAATTTTGACATGCGAGTCTTCCTTTTGGCTTCCTTCTCGCCTCCTCCTCGTCCTCGAGGCTCTGCCAATTCGGGTCCGATCTGGCAAATCTCGATTGGCTCCACGCGAAATTTCGTACGGGAAAAAAAGAAGAAGAGAGTCAGCTGCGAAGAACGCGCGAAAGCCAAGTTGGAGGCGGGAAAAAATTGCTGAACCTCGCGCGACACGCAGCTCGCCTGTCTTTCTCGACCGCTCCTCAAAGGGGACCCACCAGCCTGCCTGCCAGCCTGCCAGCCAAAAATCCGACTGTGAGGCCGCCTGCTCACGCCTGCTCAAGCCTGCAACTGAGCTCGAGTTGCTGCTACATCCGAACCGGCTGGCTCAGCCCCACTCCTCTACCCTCATCCACCGTCACTCGAGGCCTTTCTGCACCAAAACCTCACGGGTCACCTGCGCACACCATCATCCTCGCACTCGAGCGCCAAACCACACCACGCATCGGCTCGCATTCAGAATCCGACTCATCATACACACATCATGGCCCCTGTTGCGGCGCCTTCCACCAGCCAGCCTGCGGGCGGCAAGCCCATGAACTGGGCCGACGAGTTCGACGAGGACGTCTCCGGCGACGCCCCGCGCATCGAGGAGCGCGACGAGGGCAACGGCGTCAAGGTCGTCATCGAATACCGCACCAACGCCGACGGCAAGAAGGTCAAGATCACCCGCCGCGTAAAGCGCACGCTCGTAAAGACCAAGGTCAACCACGAGGTCGCAGAGCGCAAGTCCTGGACCAAGTTCGGCAAGGAGAAGGGCAACGCCGCCGGCCCGCACTCGGCCACCACCACCATCGGCGAAAACGTGGTGCTCAAGATGTCCGCCGGCAACAAGACCGCCGAGCCCGAAGTCGACGAGATGGACAAGGTGCGCCAGCAGCTCGCCAACAAGCGCATTGTCTGCCGTCTCTGCAAGGGTGACCACTTCACCACAAAATGTCCCTACAAGGACACGCTCGAGGCCATCCCCGGCGCCGGCGCCGACACGCCCGAGGCCGGCGAGGGCTCCATGACGCCCCTCGCCACCATGGACCCCTCCAACCCCGCCGTCGCAGCGAGCACAGGCGGCAAGTACATCCCGCCCTCGATGCGCGGCGGCGCAAAGGGCCCCGGCGAGAAGATGGGCGGCCTCGGCGGCGTCTCCAGAGACGACCTTCCCACGCTCCGTGTCACCAACCTCTCGGAAGACGCAGACGACGACGACCTGCGCGAGCTCTTTGGCCGCTTTGGCCGCGTCGTGCGCGTCTACGTCGGCCGCGACCGCGAGACGGGCATCTGCAAGGGCTACGCCTTTGTCAGCTTCGAGACGCGCGAGGACGCCGACCGTGCCAGGCAGAAGGTCGACGGTAGGGGCTACGATAACCTCATCCTCAGCTGTCAGTGGTCGCTCCCGCGTGGCGAGCGTCCTTGATCTCCCCCTTCCTACATCCAAAAGGAGGCACTTTGTGGTTCCCGCTCAGCAAATCCGCTTGTACATTTAGGCCCCGTCCAGCAACCTCCCATTTTGGAGCCTCCCTTTTCGCCTCGCTCGTGTGCAGTCGTGATGCAGTTGTGGTGGACAAGAAGACACGGTGCGGTGTTGAGGATATCGGATTCAAGACAACAAGGGCAGATGGGAACGTGAGTGTCAAAGACAGGCGTGTGCGGTGAAGGAGGAATCTAAGTGTTGAACCTGTGCAGCGTTATCAATATCGGTGTCAGCACGGAAGATCTTTGCGCGAGGTTGAACCACGACAACAACTTACTTTCGGTTCTGGTTGGGCCCGAAGAGGTCGAGTCGGATTTCGGGGAGCATGCGGTCTTCGAGCAGACGCAGACGCTCGTCGAGCGTGTTGTTGATGGTGATCTTGCCGCCAAAGCCGGCCAGCATGACGCCGCCCGCGCAGTCCTTGCTCAGGCCCTCCTGCACAGTGACGCTGGTCGACTTGCCCGCCTTGGACTTGAAGTCGCTCTCGGCCTGCTTGGCGGCCTCCTGTGCGAGCTGCACGTCGCTCGACTTGACCGTGACGGTCACCTTGGACTCCATCAGTTGCAGCAAGCCCTGTCGACAAATTCAACCGAGAGACGTCAATATGGCTGAAGGGGATCTGAAGCTGCTTGGAGAGGGCCACGTACCTGTAGGATGAGCTGGGACAGAAGCTTCTTGTACTTTCCCTGGTCCTTGGCGATGCCATCCAGCTTGTCGCGTGTGGCGTCAAAGAGAGACTGCAGGTGCTGTTCGCGCGTCTGGAGGATCTTCAAACGCGACTTGTTGGTCTGGTTCGACTGGGCACTGTAGGCACGTTCATCCTAAGGGGGTGAGAATGCTGACAGCTGGATAGACATTGGGACAGAGAAGACTCACATCTTTTGCGACACCTCGGCCTGCTTGATCTTCTTGTCGTACTGCGAGTCGATGTTGATGGCCTCCTGACGCACGATCTTGGCCTTTTCGATTGCGAACTCCTCGTCGGCCTTGATCTGGATCTCGCGTGCCTTTTCCACCGCCTCCTGCTTGATGAATGCGACCTGAATATCCACGGAAGAAGAGCGGTTTAGCGACGATCGCAAAAGGCAAAAGTGAGATTGTGCTCGGGCTTACCATCTTCTTCATCTCGGAGAGCACCTCATCGTCGTTCATGGGACGACTCGACATGGTTGCGTTGTTGCTCGGTATACCTCCGATGCGTAGGGTTTGAGCTGGTGTGGGTGAGATGGATGTGAGGCAGTTGGCGTCGGGGGATGAGATTGGGAAGGTGGAGAAATGTAGAATTGCGATTGCGGTGATGCGAGGCGAGGCCGGAGCGGCGCTTGGAGGGCCAGGCTAGGCTTAGGGGCTGAGCTGCTGCACTCGTCTGTTCATCAGCAGCAGCAGCAGCAGCAGCAGCA